AGGCAGGGTGTTAAAACACACAATGCTTCTTCAGGTCTTGGCTCAGAAATGACACGCTGTCACATGGCCACATTCAGTTTCCCCACACAAGTCACAGGGCCACATCCAGCATCCAGGGACTCAGTGTCCATGGACCTGGGGAAATAGATGACATCTGCATCAGTGGGAGAAGCTACAAAAGCAACTGGAAAAGGCCTTGGGTGAATAATCACAATGAAGTGAAAGAGTAAAGATGTGGGAACAATAAACCAGTATATCTTCGGTAGGGAGACTCACTCCTCTGGGGAAGTTGGGCTGTGGATACTGCCTCCAGTTTTAAATGGCACATCACCTTTCCTTTCTGTCTGCTTCCTTTGTATTGATAATTGACAGCAAAATCCCAGTTTGATGTTGTAGGTTAGCATCAGGAAGTGCAGCTCATATGGGAAAAACAAAGACTTTCAAAGTGGTCCCAAGGTAAGTTCCTGTATTGTGACTGTGCTCTATGTTGTATTAACAGATGGTCAGTTGTGGAATTAACCTGTGTGTGTATGTGTGGTCCATCAAGCTGTTGAAATGATTTTGAGAAAATAACTAATAAATACTGAGGAAAAATTAGATCTATAGTCTGTGCACATGAGAAGACATGATTATGTTGATAAGGCTGTTTTAAGCTTTTCATAAAAAGTTCCATGAAAATCTAACACCTCAAAATCTATTTGCATTAGAAATTTAAATGATATTTGACTGTTGTGACAGAATATGCTTACCTAATTTCAGATCATTTTTATCTCTCTTTATTAAATATATTCAATTGACGAGAGTAGTATGGACAGTACCTATTTTAGTAGACATAGACATATGCTTTGACTGTTCAGAAAATGAGTTGATATTATTAAAACTCTTCAAAGACTTACTTTAGTTATACATATATATATATATATACATTGTTTTTAAATATTCTTTTCCATTATGGCTTATCATATTGACTACAGTTCTCTGTGCTATACAGTAGGACCTTGTTGTTTATCCATTCTATAATATATATAATGGAACTGGAGGTTGGGGTTCACAGACCATTATATGCAGAATGGATATACAAGATCCTACTGTATAGCACAGGGTACTATATTCAATATCCTGTAACAAACCATAATGGAAAAGAATGTTATCAGTTTTAGGCAATGAGACTAAAGCAGAAGCCTGACAAGAGATTTCTAGAAACGTTTCTCTTTCCTGCTAAATAGTAACAACAGCTTTGGCACTGATTTTTCTCCTCATGCCTGGAGATGGAACAGGCATCTGGAGGCAAGAAACAAAACGCCAGCCTATGATGATGATGTAATAGAAAGCCAGAAGGATGAATCCTTAAGCTGTTTATCAATGCCAGCAACCAAGCAACCTCCCTGCAGTTTTCCTACCATAAAAAATAAATGGGCTATCCACGCAGGCTCAGCAGTAAGGTTTCCGCCTACAGTGCTGGAGATGCGGGTCGGGATCCCTGGGAGGAGATGGCGACCCACTCCAGTATTCTTGCAGGAGGGTCTCATGGACAGAGGAGCCTGGCTGACTGCAATCCATGGGGTCGCAGGGAGTGGAACACGACTGAGCACATATACATAAGTACGAAATAGATAGATGGCAAATTTGTGAGACACATCTTAAATTGTGGTTCCTGATACTTGTAAGTAGATTCAAACGAATACAATTTTTAGAATATATGAAAATGCAGTGTGTGTTAGTCGCTCAGTCATGTCCAACTCTTTGTGACACCGGGGACTGTGGACCGTCAGGCTCCTCTGTCCGTGGGATTCTCCAGGTGGGAATGCTGGAGTGGGTTGCCATTTCCTCCTCCAGGAGATTTTCCACACCCAGGGACCAAACCCAAGTCTCCGGCATTGCGGTTGGGGGGTGGGATTCTTTTCATCTGAACCACCAGGGAATCCCCAGTGATATTATGCAAAAACAAATAAGTCTATAACCATAGAAGATAAAATCAGTGAGAATCTAATGTCAATTAGCTGGACAGAAAACAGACATTTCAAGAGTGTTTTTATATGAATGAATAAGAAAATGGATATAAGAAAATAAGAAAGAAAATAAGAAATAAGAAAATAAGATGGTCCAAAATAAAAGTTTGTTCTTCATTAAACTCTTGTCTTCTTTGACAAGACAAAAAAAGAAAATATATACATATATGTATAACTCAAACATTTTGCTCTACAGCAGAAATTAACACATTGTATATCAATTATACTTTGATAAAAATAATGAAATGATAAAATAATTTATTAGTTTATGTCCTTTCCGGTGGTGAATTTGTCCTGTGTCCTCACCTACTTTGTCAGACCTTTGAGAAGAACTGTTTTGTTCCTTATTTCTGCCCTTGCTCTTTCCCGTCCTAACAACCTTTCCCCAGATGACTACCCATCATAGTTTTACGTTGAGTGTTTGCTTCAAAGGGATATTGTCTGGTTAAAATTAGGTATTAAAAACTGGTTCTTCATAATTAAAACTATTTCCAATATGAACTTAGTTTTCATTGTTTCTGCCTGAACTTCACATTGTCTTTGCCTCTGCATAAAGTGAGCGAGATTGCACCCCACACCTGCTGCATGCAGTGGTGGACAGCCACGAAAGGTGTGGACATGCATTTCCACGGGCGTCTGTATTTTATCTAAGGACACGAGGTCCTTATCTTTGTGGGAATTTACCACTCTCATATACCTAAATGATGAACCACTCACCAGACAATGTGCCTTTGATGGTCAAGATGCCTTACCTTAGGTTGTTGCACGGCATGTTCTCTGTGATGTATTCAGCATGTTTTATGTTGTTTTGTCAATCCGTGTAAACTGTACCCAAAGCCAGAAGCGACTCCAAAATAAAAGTGGGAAGTGGAGGGGTTTGAAATGAGATGTGTGATTAGTAATTTATACATTTAAAGACAAAGTAGCTAGGCTAGAGTACACCATAAATTTTAGAAGGCTTATTTTCTCTTTTCTTGCCAAAAATGAGGGGGATGAGCTAAATAAATAGAAGTTATCTAAACAGAAATATTCTAGGAGAGGGATAAGCTTTATACATGGAAATTAAAAGGGGTCCATGCTTTAGTCTCTTCACCTCTTAAAGCATGGCCAGCACTGCCCTCTTCTTGGGGTCATCATGAGTATACAGTTGAGGAGCTTACTAGACTGTCTCCTCTCTGAGGTTCTTTTGGGCATTATTCCTCCGTGTCTTCTGAGCAGAAGTGGGGGCCACTCTGTAGCACACGGGGCGCTAAACAAGAGCCCAGAAGAAAGTCTGTCTGGAGACAGTAGGTACAAAGGGGCTTGTGGAAAGAATGAGGCCAAGCTCCTGAAAAGACCCTCATTCTCAGACACTAACTCAGGAGAAGAAAGAGCTTAGTTGTAACCTTCTGGATGCACACGTCTGCAGAGTAGATGCCCAGGCCCTGGACCTTCATTTTCTTGGTTTTCACCGTGGTGTTTTGTGGACAGCCTGCCAGAGGGCAACTGTAGAGACACTGTGACCTGTATCATCTTTCAGTTTTAAAGTGTGATTGGAAACCAACCAACTGAACAGGCAAACAAAAAGCAAAACCTTGGGTGTTTCCAAATTTTCTCCTGAAATGCTACTCTAATATAAAGAAGTGTGTTATCCCACAGTCCTTTTGTTTGCTGACTTACTCTTGGCTCAGATTACTTGCGAGTCAGGTGTTCAGCATGGCTGAAGTCATTGGCTGGCATTGGGTCCCTGCCAAAGAGACATTATTACAAGATTATGTGTAATAAACACCCTATCATATATCCAGCAGTCATCTCTATTGCAAAAGTACACTGAGCCTAAACTCTTAACTTTTGCCTGGTTGCTTAATATTTTGCCAAGGTTGCTTACCAGGAACTAGAAGAGGTCTAGGAACCTGAGAGCTCTATGGGACATGAGGCGTGATCTTGTTGTTTCCAAACTCTATTAAAGTGGAACAGTGGTGGCTTGTGACATGTTTAACGGGTGTCCCTCTAATTCTGTGGTCAACTAAGTTTGGAAAATGCTATTAAATAGAGTTAAGTTTCTTTGCTAAAGGACATCCCAAGGTCTTTAGTATGCTAACATGAGCTGTGGCTCTGGGGATAAAAGCATGTAGCTTTTATCCTACTCACTTGACCACAAAGTCCTTTTATTGTAGGACAGGTATTGCCATCTCAAAAATGTCAGGCAGAGACCATGGAGTCCAGTCATTGAGAGCACACTCGCTAGTGTTTGACTGCCTGGGTTCAGTTCCTGGCTTTATCATTTACTGATCTTAACCAATTCGCTGAACATCTTCCCACTCTCAGTTTTCCCATCTAAAATGAGAACCCTAATGATACCTACCTATAGAGCTATTTTGAAAACCAAAGAACAGGGTTAAGAACCGTGCCTGACACATAGTTGACTGTTATCACCCTAACATAGTTCAAAGAAGAACTAGCTTAATACTCTCATTCTGGAGATAGGAAAGTGAGTTCCAAGTAGTGCACTCACGTAGGTGTCACTCATTCAACACACTGACCAAAGGCCAGCTGTCCCCAGAAATGAAGATGAACTGGATGCAGTTCCTGCCCTTGAAGAATGCACACTAGTGACTTGGTTCAGGTGATCCCTTTTGCGAGTAAAGCCAACTTGTAAGTCAAGAGTCCAGGACTCTCTTCTGTCCTGGAGCTCATCCTCTGAATCTGTTCTGAAAGAGGATGATCTGAATAGCCTGATTGGTAAGCAGGAATAGGGAGCACTGAGTCCAACTAATAGACTTATTTTTTATATGCCTTGGATATGAGGGCATATATTTTAATTCATTCTGAGTGTGATGCAGAAAGAGTAACTAAGATAAGCACTTTTGGGGGAAAGCAAACCCTAAAAATCTAACCTAGAAAGGGAAGTAAGAGGTGGTATGCAGTGGCCCACACAGGAGTCCGCAGAAATGGCTGGCTCGATGTATCGCCACCACTGTGTCACTCAAGGTCTTCTCTGCTTTGGTCTAGGCATCTCCTCTGAGGGCATTGCCCGGGACGGCTTCAGTGAGCAGACAGCCGCCAAAGACCTTCCCAGCAAAGATGGAGGTGCATGGGTCCTGGCTTACAGAGCAGGGCCAGCCTGTCCATTTCTGCTCCATGAGGAAAGAGAGAAACCCAACAGAAATGAATTGCACTTGGATCTCCATGTGAGTAGAAACCTTTGTGTTTGTGCTGTGACTCTTTGTATATGATAGAGACTCATTTAATATGTATTTAACACAAAGTGTGTCTGCGAGGCTGCTAAAGCAGTCTTTTGTGTGAGGGTCATTGTCTAAAAATCAGTCAGCTGCAGAAAACAGATATACGTTGCTGATTTGAAATTTGTGCACTAGAAAGTGACTGTGTTTACACAGTCATGTAAATATCTGAGCATTTACAGAGTACTCTGCTAACATCACTCTGTGGCCTAAACCTCACTGTGGGAGACGCCATTTGCCACTCTTAATATTTTTCTAAAAATTTGAGAACATACAGTAACTGACTGATATGATCTGGATCCTCCAGTGGAATTCAAATAGCCTGTCTTTCACATTCCTCCACCTTCCTTTCTCTGCAACCACTCAAATAACAGGTGAACAGTTTGGCAGGAAATCTGCCAAATACAGGATGACCTGTTAGAAGAATAGCCTTCTCTTTCCCATTCATGTATGGATTCATTGACACAGAAGCTCTGACTGACCTATACAAAGCAGAGGGCTGGGTTTTACCTACTTCCACATTGTAGACTGTCACAATTGTCACCACTCCCCTTCACTTCCCCATTTTCTGTTAGAGATGGGAGTGGGCATTAGGAATCCAAGAGGCGCTTTCTCACCGCACTGCAGCCCTCCACAACCCCTGCCATTAACTTTAATACTTACTGACAATTTTGTGTTCTGATTTCATTTAACACCTTCCAATTCATTACTTTCAAGCCTGGAAGTTTGTTTTTGATGAGTTGTGGCCTGTAATATTCGTATGGGTGACGATTTTGTCAGGCATCCAAGAGCACAAGAATCTTGTACTTTTCATAATCATAAAACCACAGTCACTGTATGTCATTTTAGAAAAGCATTGGACATTGTAAAAGGAGGTTTGGAATGAAGCTGAGAGATGTAAAAACTACAACCCTTCATGAGATGAACTGGAAATTTGTAGTTTTTTTAACCTCAGTTCAGTTCAGTCGCTCAATCATGTCTAACTCTTTGTGACCCCATGGACTGCAGCACGCCAGGCCTCCCTGTCCATCACCAACACCCAGAGCTTACTCAAACTCATGTCCATTGAGTCAGTGATACATCCAACCATCTCATCCTCTGTTGTCCCCTTCTCCTCCCATCTTCAGTCTTTCCCAGCATCAGGATCTTTTCAAATGAGTCAGTTCTTCGCATCAGGTGGCCAAAGTATTGGAGTTTCAGCTTCAGCATCAGTCCTTCCAATGAATATTCAGGACTGATTTCCTTCAGGGTGGACTGGTTGGATCTCCTTGCAGTCCAAGGGACTCTCAAGAGTGTTCTCCAGCACCACAGTTCAAGAGCATCAATTCTTCAGTGCTTAGCTTTCTTTATAGTTCAACTTTCACATCCATACATGACTACTGGAAAAACCATAGCTTTGACTAGACAGACCTTTGTCAGCGACTGCTTTTTAATATGCTGTATAGTTTGGTCACAACTTTTCTTCCAAGGAGCAAGCATCTTTTAATTTCATGGCTTCAGTTACCATCTGCAGTGATTTGGGAGCCCCCCAAAATAAAGTCCCTCACTGTTTCCATTGTTTCCCCATCTATTTGCCATGAAGTGAAGGGACCAGATGCCATGATCTTAGTTTTGTGAATGTTGAGTTTTAAGCCAATTTTTTTTCACTCTCCTCATTCACTTTCATCAAGAGGCTCTTTAGTCCTCCTTTGCTTTCTGCCGTAACGGTGATGTCATCTGCATATCTACAATTATTGATATTTCTCCTGGTAATTTTGATTCCAGCTTGTGCTTCATCCAGCCCAGGGTTTCTCATGATGTACTCTGCATATAAGTTAAATAAGCAGGGTGACAATATGTAGCCTTGACATATTCCTTTCCCGATCTAGAACCAGTCTGTTGTTCCATGTCCAGTTCTAACTGTTGCTTCCTGACCTGCATATATATTTCTCAGGAGGCAGGTCAGATGGTCTGGTATTCCCATCTCTTAAGAATTTTCCCCAGTTTGTTGTGATCCACAGAGTCAAAGGCTTTTGACTTTTTTTTAACATCACTCTACCTAAAAAGCAGTTGTGTAGCTTGAGATACACTCAAAGAAGTGTAACAGCGACATCTACTGGTCAGACTAAGTTGCGCTTGCTGCAGCAGGATGTCTGGCATATCGCAGTGCTGAAATAAACTGGAAAGTTTCTTTTTCTTCTGTGTTTTTAAAAAATGCTGGGTTTATGTGTTTTTTAACCCATTGGCTAAACTATGTATTCCTGGTTTTCCTTTTCCCTGTAAATTAAATTATTTTCTAATTTTACTTTATTTCAATTATAGAAATCATATACAATCCTTTTAGAAAATTTGAAATATGTAGTTAAATTAAAAGAAAAGAAAAAATTCATAACCTCAGCAACCAAAGACAACTACTGTAAAAATTTGATAAATTATCTTTGTATTTTTCACTATGTATGACTTATTTTCAGTGAGGGATTATTTTTAACTTGTAAGCATAGATTTTATACCTTTTATTTTTTTCTTTCTTTACTTATTACTCTTACATTGCTTGTCCATGGTGTTACAAATTCCTCTGGATGTATTTTAAGTGAATGTGTAGTATTCCTCAACATTGTACCCTAAAATTTATTTAATCATTTCTCTATTATTGGAGTTAGAGTTGGTTTTTTAAAAAATTTGACATAGTACTACAACTTGGAAGTAAATAGCACTACCACATATATAATTTTTCTTATACCCCTCCCTGCCAATATTAGGATAAACTTTGGTTTATTGTCTATAATTATTTTTAGGCTTTTGAAACATATCATCAAATGAACAAGACCTATATCTTGAACTAACTTTTAATGGGGTATATGTGTTTGTACATGTATATATATGTATACACACATGTTTATACATATTATAATATAAATATATTCATATATCATATATAAATAGCATGTATTTATATATGAAATTTATATAAACACAATTATATATATATATGTTACATGCTTCTTAGTTTTTTAAATTATAATTTTTAAACATTGGGATAGTTCCTTTAGATTATTTTGTGCATTAGCAGTTTTTACACCTTGGACCATAAGTCTCCCTACCTCCAACCCTCCTTCTTCCTTAGATGCTACAATTTGACTCCTATGTTTTGAATATTGTTATTCTAAGTAAGAAGTCCATTCTGGAGGAGGGTTCTACTGATTTAGTAAAAGTTTGCATCTTGTTACTGATTCCCAGCTCGCACTAGTGGTAAAGGACCCACCTGCCAGTGCAGGAGACATGAGACACGGGTTCCATCCCTGGGTCAAGAAGATCCCTGGAGGAGGGCGTGGCAACCCACTTTAGTATTCTTGCCTGGAGAATCCTATTGGCAGCCGAGCCAGGTGGGCGGGCTGCAGTCCATAGGGTCACACAAAGTCCGACTGAAGTGACGTAGCATCCACGCATGCACGCACTGATCACCATACCCGCTCAGAAGGACTTCTTTCCTCTGGGGGTTGTGAACACTAAGGTCAGGGAAGAGGGTATTGCTGCATGATATTTTGATCAGCCTTAAATGTTTCAGGACTGTTCTGTTTTCAGTTTTGAATCTGATTTGCAGTGTCACCATCAAGAAGTTACTTTAATCAGGCTTCTTCGGTGGAGATGTAGCTTTTCATTAGTATGTAGGGGTGATAGCTATAACATTTACTAATTGGTGGAAATTTGGCATCCACGAATCAGAATGACCCCAGGCATTCGGGCTGGAACTGCTATTAAGGACCTTATTTAGCTGCAGATTAATTTTTTTTTTTTAAGTCAAGAGCCAGAGAGGAAATATTTCAGGCTTTGGGAACCATACAGTCTCTATTGCAACCACTCTGTTGACAAAAGTAACCATAAAGAATACATACATCGTAAGTGTGCCTGTGTTCCAGTAAAAGTCTGTAGACACTGAAATCTGCATTTCATATAATTTTCACCTATCAAAAACTTTGTTCATCTTTGATTTTTTCCTCCACCATTAAAAAAATGTAAGGATCATTCTTAAAGAAGTCATTCAAAACCAAGCAGTGGGTCAGATCTGGGTCCCTCTGCTTCGGACCAGGAGATGCAAATCTCATTTACTTCACTTCTACTGCTGACTCAGCCACTAACGAGCTATGGGACTCTGGGCACCGCCCCAAGTTCCATGGGCCTCAGTGTCTTTACCAAATGTGTGCCGGCAGAATGGGACGAACAGGAACAGATAAAACAAAGTTCCTTTTTGTTATAGTATTAAATTTCCTGATTCTATTAAAGGGGTATAAATCAACCTAAGCAATGTGATGTATGGAGAGTGGAAATTATTTAAAAGAAATGTAAAGAAAGAAATGCAATTATTTAAAAGGAAGACATCTTAATATTTTCAATGTGAATTATTGTTTTAAAAGAGGAACAATCTCACCACTCCAATAGAGAGACCAAAATTTATAGTCTCCTAACTCTGAAGGCTCATACCACTTCTGTTTCTCCAATGCTATTCTTTTTTCCCCTCCCATTTTACTGAGGTATAATTAACATGTAATACTGTATAAGTTTCAAGTGTTTAGATGTTTAACATAATGCTTTGATATACATATGTACTATAAAATGATCACCACGATAATTTCACATCTTATCTCCTCATCTAGTTACAATTATTTTTCTTACAATGAGAACTTTCAAAATCTACTCTCTAAGCAACTGTCAAATACACAATACAGCATTGTTAGCTATAGTTACATCCTGTACTTACATCCGCAGGACTTAAAAATCTTACACTGGGAGTCTGTACCCTTTGATCATCTCACCCATTTCCCTCTGTCTTCATCCCTCCATATCTGGCAACCACCAATCTGTTTTCTGTTTCTATGAACTTGATTATTTTTAGGTTCTGCCTATAACTGAGAGCATCCAGTATTCATCTTTCTCTGTCTGACTTATTCCACTTAGCACAGTGCTCTCAGAGC